AAGCTTCTATTCCTGCTCTATTTTGTGTATGGATGATGAAGGTCATGCGAAAACCTACTTAGGGTGCAAAACAATGACCATCAGATCTAAATTCTCATTTCTGCTTGCAAATAAAACTCTCTGGCAAGATGTTGAGCTTGCTGCAGATATTCCGCAACCTCCTCTAGATGCCTCTACGATCCATCAATCGATTGTTGCAGAGTCCACATTTTAGCTTTAGCAGATGCAGGGTAGGCTCATTTGATGGAAACCAAAAATTTATGATACAAGCCAAATTAAGGAGGGATAATCACAAATTGCGGCGCAATATGGAAATTTCTACACGGCCACGTCCGGTTAAACTTATGAATCTGTCTCATTCATTTTTTACCCTACTCTCAGATAAACTGGTATTAGAGCAATTTGATGATACACATGTCATTAAGGGCATTTAAAATACGTCATGTGGACGTTTAGAGCAGATACACGTGTTTATGGACCTAAAATACGGGAAAAGTTATATATGGTTTCCTAAAGTAATAGTGGCAGGATGCAAACTGTAGTCCATTTTGAACGAAAGAGTTAAACAATCGACACGCGGTGCTAATTATCAAAATCTACAAAATCTTCCTATAGCGACTAATATACGCCATGCATGGGTAGAGCAGTGCATCCATACCCAGTTCATCAGCACATTAATAAAATCTTTCTTCGCCGTGTGAAACACCCTACAGCAGCAATATAATACAAGCTACAAATATTAGTACAAAAAATCCAGAATAAATCATCTGTGTAAATTGCACTGTAAGGCTGATAAATATCTTGTAATAAATTTGCATATTGACGCATCCTTTATCACAATATTTGCTTTGAAAATAAAGTCTGCAAGCTTGAGATATGGCGCGCGCTGCACCAACAGCTTTGTAGCCGTACATAGCAGCCTTAACTAGTATTTTTCCAGCATATTCTTACACCCACTTAACAGGCGAAATGGCCGCTGGCACTTTCTTCAAGTGTGTAACGGGGTAGCCCGTTACATTATATTGACACCAAACGGTGTTGATAGAGACATTGTCTAGCGTGACAATTCCCTGCCAATTTCATCCCGTTAGGGTAATATTCATGCGTTGCTTAGATACTGGTTGATAAAAGACATATCAACCATAGATTGCCACCAATCGCTTTTTAGACGCGCGTAATAAGTGGTGAGCAGGTTGTCGTCGTACGACAATGTAGATGAACATCGTTACATAAACTTGAAGTGATTTTTATAGCTCAACTATATTGAATCAAGTACTCTTTTTACCCTCTACTCAAACGAGCTGTTTAATTAGATTAGCTTCTTCTGCACGTACTAGTGTACGTGAAGTTTCGTGGCACCCCAAACAAAGGGTATTCCGTTACACCTGGTAGCACTATGTAGTCCATCCAACGACTACTGAATGTCCGTACAACATGAACATGTTGGACGCAGAAGACGACAGCTTTCACGTCACACTTGAAGGCAACTCTCATCTGAGTGACTCAGAATGGGAGGTAGTCGGCCGCAAGAGAGTGCTCATGGGCGAACCCGCCATCAGTCGCATGTTAGATTCTTTAGGCAGGACCAGCAACATGCTGCTTTCAACAAGTTCCTACAAGGGGAACTTGCCGTCGAAATACAGCAGATAGCCTTGCTATAGCAGCAAGGATCTCATCAGTCGATGGGCGGGCCGACGCACGTGCATCGACCCGAAACCTTGAAGATAGAAATCGCAAGGTACAAGGGAACCGATGAAGATTCCCTTCTGAGATGGCTCGTCGGATCAGACGACGCCATAAAAGCCCGTCACATCGAGGGCGACGAGATGCAAGTCACCTTCGCCCTGTCAAATTTGACAGGACGATAAAAGACTTGGGTCTTAGAGCTCAAGCTTTACGACACAAACGTGCTTGAGTCGTTAGAGATCTTGAAGTCTCGGCTCAAAGAGACATTTTAGCCGCCACAAGCCGAGTCCGAGCACGCTCTGCACTCCTGAGGCTCACGCAAGGTAAGCGTGATGTGCATGCTTTTGTGCAACACCTACGCTACCTTACGAGTAGCGTCACGGGAAAACCCTATTGATGAGCACACACTCATCAATGTGTTCATGTAAGTCCTTGTAGATGGACCGGTGAAGACCTACATGTTTTAAGAGGACTTCCGTACGCTGGAAAAGGCGATAGCGTATGCGAAACCAGAAGACTTCAGCCTAAAACAAAAAAATACTAGCCATGTATAAGCTGGCAGCATCGATCCGTGAAGATGCCTGCCGTTTGTTTATCAGATGACCATCTGATGAACAATGGAGCGTCCACAAGCGTGTGGACGTACTACTAGTGGGTGCGATGGTCTCAATTGTGGTACGGTCGTTCGTACGACTGCAGGAGATCACAGTGTAGAAGGCCACTGCACTGTGGAACTAGCTTTCGGCACCTGTGTGGAGCCACAGGCTGCGCCAAAGGTTCACCAATTGAAGAGATCGAGTGGACTGGAGCTCGATTGCACAACAAGAAGGATGCACCCAAAACGATAAATAGGTGTTGTATAGAATGAACAACACGTAGAAGCTAGATTGACTATCAGAGAGTCAATCGTAGAGCAAGCCCGATTCACTGAAAATTAATCGATCGAAGAGGACGTGACCGTGATAATACACGTAACAGAAGAAAATTTCAGCGTTCCTGAGAGTGATAACTCACGAGAGAGCTATGTTGAGGGCGTGGATCCCCAACCACCTGCGGATGTGTTTTCCCAGAAAAATTGAGTCAGTATATGTCTTGGTAAATGACGGATCAAGTGTAAGCGCTTATGCCCGTGATCTGGTTACACCTCCGAAGTCATCTTCGGAGTTAATCAAGTTGCCAGCGCTAGAATCTAAAAGATTCATGTGAGATCTGCGTAGTGACAAGATCAGGCAGATCTGCGTACTCGTCACAGAGGAAGAGTGAGTTGCTGAAACTCGGTCGGAACAAGTGTTTGCTGAGAACGAACGGGTTCTCTGTAGCTCATCTATGGACGAGAGTGTCCTCGATGAGAAGACCCGGATTCAGCAATACACGTCTCAATCTTGGGAGTCTTTGAATACAAATCCTTTGTGTAAGGATTTGATAAAATTTAGGGATGCTTTCACTGAACCTTTCCATGCAAGCTGCCCAAGGACAAAGGCACTCGGCATGAGATTGAACTGAAACCCCGATCGAAATACTGAGTCATAAAGCAGTGGTCACTTCCTCGTAAATGGGTCAAAGCGATCGACAAGTTCCTTGCCGATCGCTTGGTGGTTGGTCATGTGAGGGATTCAACTTCCCCACATAGATCTCCGAACTTCTGCTTGCGAAAGACCACACGAGGGTGGCGGACAGTGCACGCGTTCAACAAATTGAACGCTGCAACGATACCGGCTCAAACGCTGATACCGGGGAAGGACGTCATCATAGATGGTTTTGCAAAGAGTAACATCTTCTCGTCCATGGATCTGATGGATAGATTCTATCAGATCCTCATGCGTGAACTAGACATCCCGTACACAGCAGTGAGCACCCCCAGTGGTATGCTCTGGGAGTGGCTAGTGATGCCACAGGGGATAAGTAATGCCCCTGCAACGTTCAACAGATGTGTTACGAACATAGTGCGATCTGTGCGCGCTTTCGAACCGAGTTACTTCGACGATGTCTTCGTTCATAGCCGGGCTACGAATAAAATGACGGACGTGGAGGTTCATGTAACACACGTCCGGAAGGTTCTCAAATTTATGCGAGAGCATAAGCTGTTCTCGAACTTCAAGATGTGTATATTCGCAGCGAACAGAATACAAGTTCTTGCCTGCATCGTGGATAAAACGGTGTACGCCCTGATCCGGAAAGGATCAGGGCGATTAGCGACTGACCTGTACCAGTCGACGTCAAGGGACTTTGAAAGTTCCTTGGCTTGGCGGCGTACTTGAAAAAGTACTCGCGTAACTACGCCGGGATTACCGTACATCTCTCTCGTCTGTTAAAGAATAGCAAGAGGTGGTCATGGAGTGATGATGTTTCAGCACTCCTTTGAAGGTAATTAGAATAGCTTGGTACAATCGCCTGTGTTGGCGATTGTAGACCAAGACAGACTAATTCATGTGGTCTGTTACGCCAGCGATTTTGCAATCGGCTGTGCATTAATGTAGTACGACTCAGACGGCGTTGAGCCCGTCGTCTGTTATCAATCGCGTCAGCTGCAAGCAGCTCAGCGTAATTACCCGGTTTATGAAAAGGAACCCCTTGCCATGAAATGTGCACTGACTAAGTTTCGGGTACATCTCTTAGGAGATAGACTCTTCATCGTTTATACCTACTATGCTTCATTACGCACGGCGGTAAACAGTCCACACCTCTCACAACGAATGGCGAGGTAGCTGTATTTCTTCGCGGAGTACAACTTCTCCGTCGCGTATAAACCAGGAAGACTTAATGTCGTCGCTGATGCTCGTTCGCGTCGACTCGATTTCGAGCCGACTGCTCAACACAACAGTAGGGGTGATCGCACTGTAGCGACACTAACAGTGAGTGCTCCGTCGTCTAATCTGCTCGATGACGTGCAAAAAGCATACGCAGAAGATGAGTCTCTTCTGCGGTTGATGGATTACGTGTCTAATCCTTGCGATCAAGCTTTGAAAAGCTTGTCGTCCCAATACCGCTCTTCAACCGAACGGTATTTTGTTCGTGATGGACTGCTCTACTATACAGCAGTCAACGGCGAAACACCTCGTGTCGTCGTTCCCGCTCATAATGATATGCGATTGCGCATCATGTAAGAGTGTCATGATGCCCCAACAAGTGGGCATCGCGGTAGAGAAAAGACTCACCTCACGGTAAGTCGTGACTTCTACTAGCCCCGCCAGTATGAGTATGTGCGCAAATACATTCGCGCTTGCGAAGTTTGCCAACGGGTGAAGTCTAGTCCTTCACTTCGCGCACCCTTGCAGCCTCTTCCGATTCAGGAAGAATGTTGGCAGTCAGTTTCGATGGATTTCGATTTCGGGTTTCCCCAGGACGTTTACAAGAATTCTGGTATTCTTGTATTTGTTGGACGGTTCATCAAGATGGTACACCGTGTCGCTGTACTGGAGTCAATCTCAGCACAGGGTTGTGCGCGTGTCTTCATCGATACTATCTTCCGACTTCACGGGTTACCCCGTGAACTCGTGTCCGATAGGGACCCCTGCTTCACAGCGTACTTCTGGCAATCCGTGTTCCGTTCACTTGGAGCACGTTTGACGATGTCAACTTCTGACCGTCACGAAACAGATGGTCGGACGGAACGCGTCGACCGCTTCCTCGAAGAGATACTTCGAGGGCATATCCACTCGTTTACGAGCTGGAGTGAGTTCTTGCCGATGGCGGAACTCGCCAGCAACAAATCGGTACACGCGTCGACAACGCATACAACGTTCTTCGTGAATAGCCTACGCCACCCACGTTTACCCGCCTTCTTAGAGTGTGACTCTAGTTTAAGCGGATGGGGGACTCTCTTGAACGTATGCCAATCTGGTTCTTGCTCATCACACGTCGACAATGGTGTCGACATGATGGAAGCCCATATCGATTTCATCGTCACCGATGATGATGATGACGACGATGCTGGTATATTCAGCATCGCCAATGACTGCCACAATGAGGACGAGGACGCCCTCACTGATAAAGACAACGTTATTTCAGCAGTGCACACGAAGCGCACTGCTGTTGACAAGGATGAATCAGCAGAAGGATTTTCTGCTGACTAGCGAAGCGGTTATCCGCTTCGTTCAAGACTCTGTCGCAGATGCACTAGACAGACAGAAACAAAACGCAAATAAACATCGAAGAGCAAATATTCTTTCATTTGATATAGAAGACCTATTTTTACTGTCTACAGTAAATCCTATGAAACACGCAATGACAAACGTGGGCAGCAGTAAATTACTGCCCCAGTTTATCGGTCCACTTCGTGTTTTGCGCCGAATGGGCACCGCATGCACGATTGAACGGCCCCGTAAGATGCGTACTCATCCTAGCTTATACGTTGAACGTCTCCACCCGTACTATCAGTACGAGAACGTTTCGAGACGCAGAGAACACCTCCGCGGTCGAGAGCCGAGACAACCTTCGAGTGGTCCCGTTTCAACAAGCCAGCCTGGTCGACTAGCGAAGCGACCTGCTCACGCTGTTGAGCGATGTCTCGATGAGCTGCAGCCAGCTCGTCACGAAGAGAACGAGTCAAGCGTTCGTTACCGAGCTGTGAGAGCGCAAGCGCGCCACGATCGTCCGAACGATCATGCGTTAGGAAATTGTAATTATTCCTCATAAGTTCATGGAGCTCATAACGCCGAGTCTGTTCATGAGCCAGGTCATCTTGTAACTGTTCCGTTACACGGTTCAGCTCTTGAACATCAATCTTATCCGAACCACAGACGGATCATGTGTTCCCGCCACCATTACATTCTTTGGTGAACTCAGGCGGTGGTCAACGCTTCCTAGTGGAGTGTAATTTGAGCCACGCGACTTGAATGGCGTCCGGAAGAGTTACCTGGTCCGCTCGCGCGGCTACCCACCGGCCTAAGACAGCTGAGAACCTCGCTGCCCAGCTGTTTGTTGATTTCCTGGGTCTCGTCGAGCAATATGACGAGACCCACTCGCTGCGTTCGAAGAAGGGCCGTCGGAAAACGACCTCCCCGAACGCGAGTACAGGGATTGCAAAGTGTCAATCCTTTCAGCCATCTCAGTAGAGATGCGCGCCCTCCAGTAGGGATTATTAGGTGGTAGGCCTATTTAGGGGCACGATTCGAGTTGTCCACGCAATCTGGACACGGGTAGATCCACGAGAGACAGGGTAATCCTGCCTCTCTTGACAGTCGGTGCAACTTGTACCGTACAACGACCGGGTTACGCTTCTCAAACCTGATGCGAGCTGCATCCAGTTTACCGAGCCTGGCATCAAGGCCAATACACTCGATGTTATGGATGAGGGAATTCCATCCTTGCACCAAGGCCTTACCGTCTCGACCACATTTACTATTGTACCACCGATGTTTGAAAAACACATCAGCATAGAAGTCTTCCTTGGCACGGATAGTTTCCATACTGGAATTTAGGAGGACACATCTTCCTACAGTCGAAAAACGGGATTCGATCCCGTTCGGTGGTCATTCCGGCCACTCGATCTAACGCTTTAAAAGATGGAATCCAAAGGGACTTCACTTGAGGAGCGTGGCGCAGGATATTGTGGCCACCCTGGCCTTTTGAGTGGTGTCAGCACGAGCACTGACACCAGTGGCAGCTCAATTCGCGATTTGCTTCTCTCGTGGTAATGCATCGGGGAATCACCACCATCACCACGTTCCCTATCGTCAGATGGACTTGCATGAGGCGAGGATTCGTCAGAAGGATCGCTAGGTCCGAAGATCTCGGACATGATGCCGCCACGTTTCCCAGAGCCACTCAATTTGGCTCTTGCAGTGTCCGCCCCTGGTGATCCGGAGGCGTCCGGTATGGCCTTCGAGTCTGATACATCATCCGACTCGCCAGAATAGATGCGATCTATTTGAGACTCATCTATATTGCGATTCGCAGTACCCGCTGCAGACGCATCGAATGAATCTGTTGCACGTGGTGACTCACCACGTGGACTGTTCGCAACAGGCACCGCCTGTTGCTGAATCGCAACAGCAGGCGAAGCATCACCTGCTGGTGAAGCAAGAGAGGAACTCTCTTCGGCTGCGCATGCGTGAAACCGCTTTTCTTGCTGCTTTGGCAGCACATCGCATGTACTTTGACACCATGCGATGATTTGACATATGAATTGGAATTTATCGAACAGGTGCTCCCATTCCCAGAGTGACATAAAGGTGGCCACCCTTTTCCAATCTGCTAAATTTGATCAACGAGTGATTGACGGTTAAGGGGGGGTGATGTTACGGGGTACCTCCCCACTACATGATATTGACACTATATCGTGTCAATGGGAAGCTTTTTTAGCCTGACGATATTTTACCAATATCATCCGAGATAGATAATATTCAAGAAGCATTATCTCCTTTTAGATACATTTCCTGCGCTACTCCAAGATTGGTTGATAAAAGACACATCAACCAAGGTTACTACAAATCGCTGCCAGACGCGCGTAATGAGTGGTGAGCAGGTTGTCGTCATGCAACAATGTAGACGAACATCGTTAAATAAAGTTGAAGTCATATTGATAGCTTACCAATGTTAAATACAATTTTTTTTTACCTTTACTCAAACGAGCTGTTTAAGTAAATTAGCTTCTTCTACACGTACTAGTATACGTAAGGTTTCGCGGCACACCAAACAAAGGGTGTCCCGTTACAAAGTATCTAGTTGTCTCTTTTCTCGGATCTTAAATTTCACACAGAGATAAGTTTGGATTCTCAGTCATGCGCGTTTACTTCACTTTATATTGTGACCTGTAAGATCCACGATTAACTATGATTATTTGACTGATTTTATTGGATGTCCAGTTCCAACGACATCGTCTCCTGCCATGTGATTAGTCTAATTCTAAACAGGACATTCGCCAATATCTATTGCAGCTCCCATCATTGCGCCTGTTGCATCGTAGAGTCGGTATATTTCACCACACGTTCCATTAAATTGTAAGCGCCTTTATCTACATTTAGCCTGTACGTACGCACCACGCGATCGTCAGTCCTGTTAAAATGACATCGCGCTACGCAATGTTTAGTGGGTTAATATCGACGTAGTATCACGTAATTGTCAATTTCTATTAACACAACACAGCACCTTGCTGCATGTGGCGACGAGTGCTTCTTTGTCTTATGTCAGGTCGCTAGCAAATACAACGAGCTTCGAGTCAAATCATTGCGCCTTGTAGAAATGTTATCGGGAAAGCACTTACCCTTCGTATAATAGAAGTCAACATTTATCGGTCGTACCGAATTAAACTTGTGCAATATCGGTCACGACGGTATTATGGTGTGAGACGAGTGTGGCGCATGAGGTGTATTTAGTAAAAAGTGGGGTGTATTAAAAAATACCCTAAATAAAGGCAGCAGACATGTTCCAAACTTTTTTCCAAACATTTTGGACTCATCGTAAGCGGTACACATCTTTTCATCCGCGACAAGTCAAATCTGTGGCGTCAGGTTGCTATTGTTTCCTCAAAATCGTGAATTTAGATCTTCTTATAATAAAAATGAGGACAAAGTAGATGATCGCTCAAATGACATGCAGCATACATTAAGTTATTAATAACAGTGAATTGTTAATTTAGTCACGAAAATGATTAAATTAAAGAATAGTTATTTATCCTGCTTTTGCATATTGTACGTCAAAAAATACTTTTTAAGCGCAAATTTTTTTTTTTACCTATTTGGTCATTTATCATTTATACTTTTTTTTCGCAGTCTTTTTAACTTCGCCTTGAGGGCAGGATAGCCGAAAGGAGTTAACTGACACCAGAGGGCAAGCTCCAGAGTTTGATCCTCTCCCTTATTATTGTAACAGGAATCTAACGGTGCTACTTAAAATTTATGGTCCAAGTGAAGTTCTTGGACCATAAATTTTAAGTAGCACCGTTAGATTCCTGTTACAATAATAAGGGAGAGGATCAAACTCTGGAGCTTGCCCTCTGGTGTCAGTTAATAAGTCCATAGAATTGACTCAAGTTCCGTCTATTCAAGTACATTGCACTCAGTCAATAATAGCCTTGCCTTTGGGCTTGCACTAAACGGAGGTTGTGGTACGTAAAACGATAAATTATCTGTTTTCATGCTATCAATTTTTGCTTATACTTATAAGCTTAGATTAGTCCAAATTCTGATGCCATGAGTGTTTCACTCGTACCAGGGTGACTCCTTTTCAATTTGCATTTAAGCTGTGAAATTATAGCTTTACTGTAATGGACCACCTAACATTAAGTTTCTTTGTAATGCGGTGGAGCCAATTAGCCGATTACAAACGTTTGCAATTTGAGACGAGGCTATCACCTTTTACCGGACCAGCTATAGCACCACTTCGATAGCAAACTGAAGTAAATACAAAAACGTGCTTTATTTTTTTTTGCAAAATAAGCGAAACTGGTACCTTTACCCTTCCCAAATTTTATAACTCCACCCTTTGAAACCAAAACCTATTTTTTACTTAATAACTATACCATAGCGCGATGGAAAAATTCTAGGTACTGCGTGAACGCCATTGTACGTATTTTCCAAAAGGTGGATAAATACTCAACCTTTAAGCTGAACATCATAAGATGAATGTTTTGAGAAAAACAAAGCTGATGTCGATTACGTATCTGACCTCGAAGGATGGACACTAGAGATATGAAAGTTCTCTAGCAACAGCCCACGTTTATTAAAGTAGATTCGAGAGACAGTCCACTGCTACATAGAAAGTTCTTTTGCGTCCTCCGAAGGTATGAAAAGAGATGATTTATGGTGCAGTAAGGGAAACTGCAACCGATATGTGTCGCACGCTAGAACAAAATCTAATTGCTTACCCCACGGGTGAAAGAATTAAGATTATATAATGTTGGCGCAAAAACGCCTCCAGTGCTGCAATACCAAGCCTACCGCAGCTTTTCGATAAGGATTGCGAAAAAGCAAAATAGGAAAAAACTAATTTTTCGATCACTACGGCCTGCAGATGTGCTTTTGATTTCAAAATTTGTTTAAGAAATGTGTATGTAACAAAGCGTATTATAACACATTCCATACAATATCTTCTCCAGTCACTAAGAATGAGACGCTTGCTTTACTGTGCGTGCGGCTTTGACCGTTTTAATGATCCCGATCGATCGCACACTACAATCATTTTATTGTTACTGAACCTAAAGATCGGAAGTAAATTATTTAAGCGCGTGCGCTATCAATTACAAAGCCATGAACATCTCCTTTGCTGACGGATACTTGAATCCGACGAATCTAAATAGAATCTATCAATTTCGTGCGGATTCTTTTAGATGCTGCATTGTCAATGTAAGAATGGTGGTGTGTAGGACCAATCGATAAAAATCATATATCGACCCTATACAAGCTGCGAAATCTATTTTTTAGGAGGCATAAAATTTAAAAAAATGGCGAGCGAATAATCACTAACCAAAATTTACTTGTTTCTCTTTGACAAGGATCTAGTTATATATTATGGTGCAAGACGGCCAACTGACCCGACACGTTACATTAGCTACTATTATATCACTTGCTTCTCTGTGATTAGCTGAAGAGCAACTGGAACAAAAGGTTGCAAGTGTTCAATTTATAAACACGTGACATGTGGCACTTATCACAGTGATTTATAAAACCACAGCAGTTTTACGATCTACCATCCATTGCGTAATTGTTTAAACTTGTAAGTGCATACCAAGCGATATTTCGTCTCGTCATGTGCCTTTGTGATCACAGATAATAAATAGAACGTGTTGAAGTAAGATGATTGCGTCCGCATCCAAGTTACTGTAGGTAAAGCGGGTAAATGGCCAACAGCAAAACAGACGCAGTCAAATGGTGTGCACAACTGAATTAATAGTTGTTTAGCACAAACGTTAGGCGTTAGGGAGGCTGAAGACCTTAGATATTGTATCCTTGTCACTACTCTGTAACAGAGCCTATTGCGAGATTACTTCCAATTTTACTGGTGCCTTTTTGCGCCGGTCTCGCTGCGCTATCCCTTTATCATATTTTCAGCGGAAGCATCATTTTTAGAAGATCTGCGCACGGGAGAAGTGGGTAAATTTTCGTGTGCTTTGTTTATTGACGGAGTCATTACCGCATCATTTCGCCACACTAACACCTATCATTAAGTGAGATTGTCGACACTTTGAAGTGGGAATGCGCATCACAATGTACGAACCGTGTTGAGCCATTCGTGCAGTATCACAAAAATGGCGTTGGCAGTATCTTAGTGATGCCGTGTGTGCATGGTTAAAAATTTAGTCGTATGTGATATCACTCTGATAAAAACTGGGGGTAGGTCAGTCGAACTCGTGTAAAACCTAAAAAAGCATTAAGGACGAGTGTTGTAACGTAAATTGCAAAAAAACGACGGCTTTTTATGGTCGACCTAGAATTCGTATCGATTGGAATATCGTTAAGCTAATATTTTCAAATTACTAGAGATTAAATTGATAGGGACACCTTTTGATGCGTACACACCCACTTACACTGTGTAATTAATCAAACACAACTGATTGATTTCCCGCCCACAAGAAAGGCAAACTATTTCCCTGCATAGAAAATTATTTTTGTGATCCTTGGCTGCCTAAACGACCGACAAATAAGCTTAAAAAAGGTAAAACAGGAGCAAAAGTAAATAAACTACAAGGCATTACTAAGTAAAAGTGTTTCTTTCACGAACAATTGTAATCCACCAGCTGGAGATTGCAAAAACAAAGAGTACCTTCAACGTTAGGTCCTCTTCTTTCTTGAATAAAGCTGAGGTTTTACGTATAACTAAAGTAAAATACGCTCTAGCTGTCAATCAAATGTGCTAATAATTAAAAACTTGAAAATGGTTTTAGATCATTAAGTATAAAAAAACGTGATGAAGAAGTTTACAAGAAATAGATATTGTTCTATCAAAAGTGATGGTATTGCTAGATGTTATGGTAAAATTAAAATTAAAGCCGGTGAAATGGTTGAATGTGATAACGGTAACATCAAATGGATGGCTCTAAATTTAGCACCTGATTTTGTAGGAGTTGTCGTATTATGCAATGACCCATTTATTTAATAAGGTAATTTAATAAAAAGAACAGGGTCAATTGTTAAATACAATAGTAATACATTTTGATCATATTTTATATTTAATTAGTTAGCTTCTAAAGAAACAGAGGCAAATTAAACAGAAGATAAAAAAAGCGTGACGTTTAGACTTTACAGATACGCCATCTCCGAGTCCTCCCAAAAAGTAAAATGTGCACAGGTAAAACATCCCCTAAATATGAAAAAGGGATAAAAATGTAGGTAATTTGGATTCAAAAACTTATTTGAAAGTAGCGGTCTATTTAGCAGAATAATGAAACCGATCACCTCCGGTAGGTCGTCGTTTCGCACGCTAGCCGCCAGTTTCACTACAAAACGGTTAAAGAACACATAATTTGTCTCGGGCCTGTTTCCAGATTTGATCTCATGTAAGGACACGTAGAATTTGCATACTGTCCAATCTCATTTTTGCTCCTCAAACTCTTCGCCTCCTTTGCTTCTATCTATTAATATTATATTGAATTAGAGCCCTGCGCATCTGAGCGACACGCTTTTTGCACGTTCACATAGCGAGCAAAAGCAAAAGCTTTCCTAAATAAAAGAAGGCTGCAAAGAAGAAATGAAGGGTAGATTTATGATAAAGTGAACGCGTACTGAGTATCGAGTGGTAGGATACCTACAGTAGATGCCAATGCTACACGTTAACCATAGAACGCGAGCGAAACGACCGCACACACGGTGCAAGTAGGCAGGTGTATAGAGCCGATCATGTTTTTTTTTATAATTTATTGAAGGAAGAGCTTGTTCGCAAAGACGTTTAGTAGACCATTTCACTCCATTCTTGCCGCCCCATAAATGTGATAAATCCATGTTTGACCCAACCTTTTGTGAAAACACTGCAAGATATAACTGTGGCCTGGTATATGCAAGTGAGGTTGATGTTGGCTTCAGGCAAGCCTATCATTTGCTTTTCTAATAGTGGAACATACCTTCGTCGTAGCCTAGTGAAAGGGGTGCGGAAAAGTACTATTTTATGGCAGATTATGCGCTACATTGTGCTCTCCACAAGGTCGAATGGATTACTTATACGCTTTTAAATATGTTAGTAATTAGCTATGATACAAACGGCATGGTTCCATTGATCAAAGCAAGCGATCAATATAGTGCAAGCTCTAACCAAATGCGGTCCATGTGAACAAGTAGAAAATAAAGATCAGTGTTGTCCAAAACGCCATTTCGTTTACACAGGTGATCAACACTTTTTCGGCGATCTTTCTTACACGACGATGACCGCTATATTGGTATTTTCATGATGCAGGAGCTATCAACATAGAGTTGAATGCGCACAACAGATCACATTGCGAGAATGGATAAAATTTGATAGCTTTTTACCATTTACGAGAGCTAAACGAAAATTAGTGGCTTTATTCATTCAACGGCTCCGTATGTTTTGTTACCAGGGCTCAGAAAGCAAGATCACTGAATATGGTCAAACGTGATAGTTAGTGGTGGTGAATACACAACCACTGTGCTTGTTGGCTCAAGTTGTCGTAAATTTCCGGCAACAGTACCGTAATTGTCTTGAGATGTGAGATTGACGTCCGGCTATCCAAATCAGTAATTTTTGTTGGGTGCGTAATTCACGAATATTCAATCGATGAAAACTCTTCGTGTGCTGCTTGTCAAGCGCAAGCATCATCGATGTACTGACATTGTATTGTGTCAATCGGCTTGGTGTAACGAGTCAAATTTTAAGAAGCATTGTAGTCACTTTATGGTTGATGACTTTCTCGTAAAACAAGAGAATAAGTGTAAAAGCAAAGGTGCACATGCCGATCAAGAACGTCTTAGTCCAAACTTATATCCGCGAAGACCACAGTGCATACGTTCTGAAGTGGACCACCGTTTGCATACTCTAGAAACGTCTGGCGGCAAAAGTCTTTACGATTCTGATCATCGTGTTCGAGTGCCAGGCGATAGTTTTATAGTCTGAAAGGTCATGATAGTGTATGCAACGCTGTAACAGGTAGATGAGGCGTACGATAGATGCCCCGTCGCCAAATTTTTAATGGAATAATAAAACGTACCATTGACAGAGCGAGTCTAGCTTGCGTTATAAACGCTGATAAATTAATGCTGACAGGAGTCTGCAACTATAATTCCATCGCACCCTAATGCGTCCAAATTTAGACGACCATTGCAGTCAACAACAGGCAAAAACATTGGTTTGGGCGTCAACCGTTGCGTAGGACGTTAATGGCCATAGCTGGAGGTCTACCTCATCACGTACGGTAATAAATCGACGGTCCTACTGGCGATGCGGACCTGTTGCTTTGAAAATTCTGGTATCGTGGTGCAGCGAATGAGAGAACACCATTATGCCTGCGTTGTTATGCTTTTTGGATGGCAGTCGGATATTTACCCAGACTCCTGACAATACACATCGATATACATGTAATCTTCGACGTCACTGTGAAGTGTTGCTTGCTTTGAAAAATTGACTGCGAGAGAACCAAGCTTTTTAGACACGAACCGGTCATTAATTTTCAATCTTGTATTCGGTCGTTACGACCACTGCATATAGTATTAATGATGTGGCAGCACCACGTTATGCTTAAGTAGGCGTAAATTAATCGATTAGCCCTGCAGCATACTAGCTCATTTGGCACGACACCACTTTTTTTTTCATTTGATCGGCAAGATCATACGGTCACGCGAGGCCTTTACCGACGTAATAGTGAGTCCAAACACTCACCCGCATCGACACAAACCAGTCCCATATGCCTCGATGAAGACTTTGCGATATTCACTGCAAAAAGACACAAGAATACGTCAAGGGTTGTTGTCGAAAACAAGTCTTCTTGCTCCGACAATTAGCCTCGACGTGTCCGGCCTTGCCACACCCGTAGCTGATACTTGTCTTTACGCGCAGCGCACAACTGTCTACATGCGCAACGACTTACTTTCTCACACTATGACCCGATGATCTTACACCTCGCCAGATAAAAACAGAAACTGAGAAGAAGTATAAACCCTGCATTTATAGCGTGAATCATACGCGAAAGAACTATCCATCTGTAGCATGAGTTGTCTTCAGCTCCCTCAAGTCTTCTTGCAAAACACGATTGAGTCCAGCATGTGTCCTGTCAAGTCTATTGGGACAATGGATACGCACGCTTGATGTGAATCTCCTCGCGAGGTCTTTACCGGACAACCCGTCAGCAACAAACACAGCGGCAATTAATTAGACCCAACTTCTTTCAGTACGAACTTACAGCCTCTACCATCGTATCCCACCTGTCGTCAGCACCTGTAGGGACCATGCTCATGCGCTTAATCACCTTCATTCCCGACGAGATCCGACCAAACACCGTATGCTTGCCTTCACCATTCAATCAAAAATTGCAGTTAGAGACGCAGCCAGAATCAGCAGCCCACACTTACAAATCGCATTACCATCGAGCCAAGGCGTCGGCGCCAGCGTAATGAAAAACTGACTGCCGTTTGTGTTCGGCCCAGAGTTTGCCTATGAAGAGACCGCAACAAAATGAGCAAGAAAAAACAAGCGTCACATGATTTCGGATACAATCAATTTGTCGTTGTACCATCGAAAGCACACCAGCTCCAGTGTGTTTGAGCTCTTTTGAGATCTCATCGTCAAATTTTGCCCTAAAACCCGTCGAAAAGTCACAAACGAGACCGCAAATATAACAATAAATCTCACAGATCCAACTCCCAACCCGTAAAATGGACTCGCCGCCTCTCCCTGTGCCTGTGGGGTCCCCTCCTTGAATCATAAAGTCTCTGATAACGCGGTGGAATATAGTGTTGTTGTAGTAGCCGCGACGCGCCAACTCGGCAATGTTCCAGCAGGTTTTCGGGGCGTGTTCCAAGTACAATTCCATGGTAAAATCACCCTGTCCATCAATTATTGCTAGATTAGCACACTTCCGGATAAAGTGGTCTATCTTTCACTGTCCATATGCGGAATCGCGCACCACTGTCGTCTCAAAGGTCACGTGAGTTGGCGGCTTGGGCGTGCTGGAAGTCATACTTTGGATGAAGTCACAATGCAATAATTGCGTTGCGTAATTTTGTCTGTGAAGTGTGCATAATTTGTCGATGGAAGAGACCTCCGAAACTAAATGGATACGTCGTGTGAGCGGGAAAAAGAGCAGATCTCCACTTTTTCCGAAATAGAAAAGGATAGAGGGTTTACAAACGCAATTAAGCGCTTGGGACCATTCATCTTTTATCAGGCAATTGATCGGGAAGATAAAGTGTAACTAGAAACGATTGGCTCTACCTATTTGATATTTAATTTTTCATTATGAGTGCAGTCATACTACATCTGTCGTTTAAAAAAGGTGAGGTCAGGCGGTGGAAGTAATTGGATCTTCCAGAAAGGTTGGTGGGCGTAGTAGAACGGCTATCAGATCTCGGTGTGGATGTGCGGGAAACGGTTGCAAGTTGCAACAAAATACAGGTATAGACAGAGAAGAAGGTAGTATAGAAAGCATGGCTAGGAGCAAGTTGACGAGAAGAAAAGGTGCTCATGAGGACAAACATAACAGAATCAAATTTGCCCTCATCTGCACATTACCAATCTTCTACAGGTTATAAGCTTAATGGATGAACAAGACGACACCAAGGCCGTGCCAGAAATAGAAGGTCACGCAAGGGGCTTGCCGTCACGTGCTGCCTAGCCAGGACGCGCTTCTATTCCGCCGAGCACCGCGGCTGTCGTTGGAGACCCGCCAGCTCACGAAAGAAGCTCGGTAACCGAAGATAATTTCTCGCGGCCCTCGCCGCCCTTTCGGACCGCATAGAGAAGCTAAAAACTTCACAAATGTACATTGACGAGGATGAGCGTATGCGCATTGTCATAGAAAGAGGCTTGTTTGCATCGGCTATCGGCACAAATATGGGCACAAGGACAATGACAATCGACGCGCTAAGAATGTCACTAGAGCGGAAATTAGCGACTCGTGAAGTGCGGGCGCCAGGACCGTCACCCGAACTCGTAGGCTTCTTGTTCGCATCTTTTATGAAGCGGTCTTCGATGCCGTATATGCTACAAAGAAGAGGCGTGCCCCTGCTAACGAGGCTCTTCCTTGAGTGGCAAACCCAGCAGCTCCACTTCAGCAGCAAGAATCTCTGAACTGTGCGTCACCGACGGCAGCTCAGTGCAAGCTAACGATCTGTAGATTCGACAAATCAGAGTAATCTCGTGGCTTATGATCCGGGTTCTATAATCAGGAGAAGATTGCGTTACGCTACACAACTTGGCCAAAGCATCGTGCGATTTTTGGTGAAGTGAAGACGTCAAGGTGACCTGCTAGGCCACTACCTAAGCCGTTACAGCCGAAAGGTACGACCATAAGCAAATTGATTTCTGGTGAAACCTAAACCTGACTCTATAATTCCGTGATGTGATGCTTGTTGTAGACGTTGGAGACGAAGATCACCGCTGGGCTGTCTATGAAAATTGTTTCGCAAGCGAAAGACGCAAAAAGGTCACGGGCGGAGCATTTCCTGTACCAAGTCGCGGTAAGTGATGCATGGGGAGGTGTAGACTCGCTAATTTTAGACAATTTTGTCTAACATGCTTCTTCTGAGCTCATAAATGTGATGCCAGCAAAGTGCGACCCCACATTGACTGATTGCTTTAAATATGTAAAGAATTGACGCATTTTGCGACGTCAATTAAAGCTTGAAAGGAGATCGGTTGGACGCATGTCGAGGCTAAATCTTAGCGCAAATAGTTATGCATATGTTAAGGGTGTGGCAAGACAGAACACATCTCTGTAGATTGCCGGGTCGAGAAGAAAAGAAACCGTTGGCAACAACATGAAGACTACCGATAGCGACTTGGTTCTTAAACAATGAGACAACAAAACTCGTAGACGTGGCCCAAGATGGGCTAAAGAACAGGGCGCCGACTGAGTCCGCGAATGCTGTCGAAGATGCCGAAGACGTCAATCAAGTGACTAAATCTTGGAGATTGGCTCAAGTAGGCACTTAAAGAGCGATTTTCAATGATGCAGGACGCTGATGAGTGATACCACAAGATCTCGATGGTAGGCGGAAATTCTCTCAAGATCACAATGATTTGGGAGCGTCCTTTTCAGCGTTGCAAAAAAGATAGATCGAACTACTCTAACCGATGTCTATCTAGCAGCGCAGCTTGTGCGCGACGTCGTATCATACGGGAAACTTGATCAAAAATGATTCTGGATCGTCTACAGGGGATATGGTCGCTCCTGAGTGCGACGCAGTGATTGGTATATCGCATTTGGCATCAGCATGCAGACAAAACGTGCTGTACGTTCAAAACAGTGACGCCGGTAGAACATGTGTAACAGAAGATGCTCGATGGACGTGATTCTTGACGCAAAAACAAGCATGCTGTGCTTAGCGGATCTCTTTTGAACTGTCATGCACGTATGAGACACCTGTTTCTTGGCACGATCGAACAAATGGACAACACAACTGGCTCAGGTATGAAGATTAAGAACTACGACATATTTTTGGTATTCATGCATTGAACGGAAGTAGACGAAGATCAAACAGTCTTGGATGGACACCCGAAAACACACACTCATCGATAGTATAGGCAGAGTGATTTGATAGAAATCCGAAAGGTCCGATAACTCCAAGAGATCGAATTGGATATCACGACTTAATTAACTTCGTCGACCACAAGTCGAACTACTGCCGCATTTTCTGGCACCGACCAAACTCAAGGCCGCGAAAAGATCCAAGGCTTTCATTATACAATTTTAAGCGCATGTTTAAGTGTAGGATACACATATTGCGAACGGAAGGATGCGGCGAATACAGGGATTTCGGTTTTTTCTGCTAGCGTACGGAAATGCGCGAAAATTCAGCAAAGTGCAAAACCAGGCGTCCAACGGCAATGCTAAGCGCATCCATTAGACGATACTTGATATAGCGCTCAGCATGATCTTCAATCTTCAGCGCCATATCAAGCTCTAGGGGAGCCCTTAGTACTCGGCTAACGTTCTAATTTAAGTCCGACGCAATCCAATACAGGACGTGCATCGCCAATCGAAATTTTGAGATGAAAGCCCCCGATCTTCGAGAGATCGTCGTGCCTGAAGGCATTGGCGCTAAATACAGGGACCGACAGATAGATTCGTTGGTGCACGATCAAGATAGGGGTCTTCATTATAAAAAGTAGCGAAATCAAGTGATTTCGTGTATTTTACAAAAGTAAGACAAGGTGGTGACGACAAAGCACGTCTAGAAAATTGAGACGCTCAATGCGAAGCAAAAAATTCTGATGAAGTGTTTTTATAGCCAGCTACCAGGAGGATTCGGCTTTAGTTTTGGAGGTTGTAAGTAATCGTCGATAGGAACTCAAAAACAATTTGGCGCATTTCTAAACAACGCGACTCAAAGAAAACGAGTTCGACGCACAAGCTACTCAAGTAACGGGAGTTTTACCCTCCATGCTTTATTTTTTCAAGGAACTTATCTCGAGTGCTTACACTGACCACGCTTCTACAGACTACAATTTGTCGCACATAATAGGTACGTGACAAAGAATATAAGCAGCTTCATGCGTGAGGCCTAATACAAAATTTGTATGGAGATATGACAGTCCTTTAAGAAAAAATGTGTGCAAGTTGATTAAAAACCCGGACAATTGCAACGTGTTACATACGAAATGGATTTTTAAAACCAAATCAGACACGCAGGGAGACTTAGAGATGCTTTAATTGAGGAGGGATTCGTGCGACAACGAGCAAGTCCCAGGTCTAGACTACACCATCACCTTCGCTGCCGTCATGAAGATAACAATAGTGAAGGGGGAACTAGCACTTGCAGCAACGTGACAGGTTCCGACGAAGCACGGAATTATACAATGCTTATACCAAGGAGGACAAAGAAATGCACCTATACATTTACCTGCAAACTGGTCGAGGCATGTAAGTCTAGTGCAATACATTTTAAGAGTCTCGGCACAAGACAAAATAATTTCTGTGGTGCTTTGCTGCGTAGAAGCCTGTACGGCTTATGGCAAGCAAAGAGACTTTGGAGTCAGCTTCTACACACGCAAATCACATAGGCTAATTTCGATACACGTGTTGCAAACCCACATGTGTCTGTACCGCAAGAAGAATGGTGAAGATGTTATCGTAATCGGCGTGCATGTCGATGATTTGCTTGCGACCAGCGATAGCGCTGTGACAATCAAAAAAACTTAAAACCAGTATTGGTTCGGTATCAATTAATAAATTCGTACGCGTAAAAAGATTCTGTGTATAAGAGTGGGATTTGTAAATGATGCCTTATATGTTTTGGATCGGGAGGAAGTTATTAAGGACTTACTTTGCGAACACGGAATTCATGACGTAATTTAATTCTTGCTCCGGTTGAGGAAAATGTTATGAGGTGCGAGATGAAGACGGCGTGCTGTTTTAAAAGATAGGCAATTTTGCAAGTCAATAAATCAAGAATTCCAGTTGCTTGCTTGGAATCTAATCTGAGTGGCGCGTTGTAATAGGCCAATTGTGACTATAACAGTGCATAAAGTGACGCGCCAGACCCATTAGCTACGCGTTGACGACTATAAAGTGGCGAAGGGATTCTCTCGCTACTTATAATGCGCGCGAGTACGATAGATGAAAATTTAGGTACGAGTCCAAGATATATACACTTCAACTCTCAAGTATTACAGCGACGCAGACTTCGCTAGTGACAAGAAGGACCGCAATTCGTTGACTGGAAGGGTCAATTTGAAAGTCGGCATGACAGTGAGCTGGAGAGCAAAAACAGGGCGGTGCGTTACTGTCAACTATGAATGCCTTACTTGTTAATGCTTCTATAGCATCACGCGAATTGCTCGTTACAGGGAATTTGTATGTGAAAGCGGCATTGCGCCGGACTTCCCCATATTGATGTATGTGGATAACCAGAAGGACATCAAGCAACTTGAAAGCGAGGCTGTATCAACTAAGGCCAAGAACATCGACGTGCAGATCATGTTCGTTTGTGACTATACTAGGAGTGGCATCATCTTCGC